ATAAATCAGGTAAGAAACTATACTAAAAAGTACAGTTGTCACTCCTTTGATTTATATTTATGCACATTTTAGCAGTCAATTCATATGACGTTTATTTAATATTTGTATATTAAACTTCTATACTTTTTGCTATGTGTCTTTTTGTTGAAGTATTCAATCTAAAGAAACAAGTGTCCATATTCTTATTTTGAACTCTAAGGTAAATTCATATATTTGTTTGTTATTAAGCACAAAGCTACACAATGGGCTATCTCTGCTCTGCCCACCACGGGTATCGAAACTCGGATTCTAGCGTCGTAAGTCCGCAGACATACCACTGTGCCACTGGGGGGGGGCAATTTGATATATATATATATTTCATTCTGTTTGTTTGTTTGTTTCAAAATTATGCTCAAACTTTCACACAGGGCTATCTGCGTACAGCCGTTTCTAATGTTGAGCTGATATACCAGATAACAATACCCACAGCCAACCTCAGGCTGCTCGATTAGCGGGATTTGACATCATACCGACGATTCCAAAGTGTGGAGCACGTTTTTACTTTAATGGGACACGAACTTAAATCCTCGGATTCACAGTTCGGGCACGCTAACCATAAGGCCTCACCGAGCTATATTTCATTCTTACTTAACACTAACACACATATTATACGACAGTTGAATCTTTATTGCATCGGGCCAGGCGTAGCCAAGTGGTTAGCATGCCGGACTGTGGATTCGAGGGCTCCTTACTGAAAGATATGATAGCGCTCTGCACATTAGGATCATTGATGCGTTATGAGAGTGATGGTCAAATGAAACTTTTCAATTAAAGTAACCATATAGCTGACGATGGGTGCTGTTCTCCAGCTAGCTTTCCTCTAGAACAGGGGTCACCAAACTACGGCCCGCGAGGTCAGTTCATCCGGCCCGCCGCTGCACCGTGCCACAAATGAGCTAAAATATAATTATTTATATGGAAATATCATAGATTGTAAATAAACTTACTATGTAGTAAAAATTAAAATAAGTGTAAGTAAAAATGTCCAAATTTGTCCAATCTGATTTTTGCATCTGAGAGTAATATAAGTTTTAGGAAAATCAGTGCAATAAAAAAATTCGGTTCTGGATATCAGAGCGCTTTTTGTGTAAGTATCTGCAATGAGAGTTCATTCCTGCAGTCGCCTCTTCTCGCATTGTTGTAAGACGATACAATGCTTACAGGCAGTTGATACAAGTAGTGTGACGAGTGTGCGCGTGGTTACACAGCTTTGTGATAGTGAAGACGTGTGCGTGTATTGTGTGTGCTTCTATGTATATTTGTGTGTTGTACATATGTGTTTATATATATTTATATTTAAATCTGGAACACTGGTTCAATACATGGATTAAACCCGAACAGATGACTTTGGATATCAGAATGCTTTTTGTTTAAGTACCTGCAATGAAAGTTTCCAAGAAAAGCGAAACACGGCAATGCAAGTTAAAACACGATCGCTGCAGCAGGCTCGTAATAAAACCGGTTTGAAGAGTGTCGTATATAAAAGGGACTGACTTCAGTGAATTAGTAATATATTTTGCATATCTGAGTGTTGAAAGAGCTCACAAGAGGTAAGCATTTAATATTTTCAAATTTTGATATTTATTTAAGCCCTATATCTTAATCGCTATACACTCAAAAAACGACTTAATTAAATTAAAGAAGATTTTAATTAAATTAGTATCAAATTCTTAATACTATATTTGCCTATAAAGATTCTTAATATTTTTATTAAATATAATCTTAATTATTTTTTATGAAGCTCTTCTAATTAACTTACATAATAGATTCTAAATACATTGGCAAATTATAAAAATTGCTGAATCAAATAACTTATCGGGAAAACTTTTAAACCAATTACGTAATAACGTAATTTAATGTCATGAACTATCTACATTTAGTTTGTCATGTTTATATACATGTTTAAAAAAATTTTGAAAAATTATTATTTTTTAAAACTTTTTGGTAGACTATTCAATGTGTAAATAAACAATTGATTTTCATTTTCAGATTCTGTTTTCTTCACCCATCGTT